CTTCCTTTAATTTGTTTTATAGTTGCGGAATTAAAGATAATCTTACGGTCGTGAGTAGGGACAATTAGAGGGTCACGCAGCAACAGAGATAATACACAATTAATGACTTACACACAAACATAAGTACTGTTATAAACTACAAATTACTTACTATCAGACTGTGGGTTTAACATACTAAAACCAAAGCCGAGAAGTACTACTTTATTAATTTTTTTTTTTTTTTTTTTTGTTACTTTATAATTTGAATGTATTTCCGCCATTTCACGTGTATCTTGTATATTGTTTTTGTATATATTGTACATAGAACCTCATGTACCATTAATTGGTTTGAGTGAATAAATTGAACTTGAACTTGAACTTGGTCAAAAGCTTACATATAGAATACTTTATTTTAAACTAAAAAAATTCCCCCCAACTGAAAATTTTTGGCTGTGCCCCCCCCCCTCCAACTGAAATTGCTTCCTACGGGCCTGACATGTATCATATTTCTATATTCTTTCAAAAAATGCACATTTTAACATTAGACTTTAAGAAGTTGATTTTCCTAGAGAGACTCCTTTTTAATTTTTTATTTTATTTTATTTCTTCAGACAAAAAAAAGTTTATTAAGAAATATGTATAACAAAAAAAAAACATAAGAAAATTCATGACATGCTGAGCATGGGAAAAAAAAGATAAAACTGTTAATATAACATAATTAAATACAAAAATATATCAATCAGCTCAAATGTCACAAGTTCAAATTCCTTTCCGGTTGTCGGTTTTAATTCATCTTGATTAACCATCGAACAATTAATCAGGGGTCGAGGCTGAGTGCAAACTCCCATGATGCCGAGGGTGCAGTCATCCATCTTTGCCCCGGTCACCGGCTGACACAGTTTGTAACATATTACCATTAATGATCCAATCATTGTTGATTTGTAAAGCTAAACTATTTAAAATTGATTGTGTTTTGTTGACAGATGACATAACGAGTTCTTCTTGCACTCCGAGTTTAACAGCCGATTGACCCGCTGACCGCCAGAACCAGCCGAGGTGTGAAATTCCTCCGCCGTAAGGTTATATATCTTAACAATTCCCGCTTGCACTTCTTTTGATGGTCGGAAAGCCTCGGGATATATCGACCGACTGGTTATGTATTGGTAACAAAGTCATTGAACGATGCAATTAAAAATTCTTTTTTTAGGACAGATGGCTATCTGCAATATTTAGAAGATTCTCACAAATTTGCTTCTATTTCTAGAAAGGTCTTTAGGTTAAAGCAATAAAATGCCACTGAACTTAGAAAAGGTTGTTGAGCTGCGTCCACTTTACCCTCATTTCAACCAGGTCATGATACCCTTCCTTCAAATAAACATCCAAATGTTAATTGCATTTCACTAAACAAAGTGGATTAATCTATCTTTCATTTTGCCTCATTTTTAAAAAAAAAATGCTTTATTTATGCTTATAAACTATAAACAATAAAATAATAAATGAAAAGTAACAGTCTTTTTCTTTATTTCAGTTTTTAGATTTATATGTATCAATCAGATAACCTGTTCAGATTTTTTTTTATTCTTGTCACTCGTAACAATTCTGTCAACGGTTTGTATCTGGGGAACGCCTCAGGAAAAATTTGAATTAAACCCTAAGAAAATTAATTCTAAATGGATTTGATTGGAAATACAAAACAATCAATCATTCATTTATCAATGAATCGCCCAAAAGAAAGTTCAATTAATTAGTTTGTAAAATGACATAAAAACGTATCAATGTACTAGAAATATTTGATTTCTAACATACATATTTCTTAATTTGATTAGACACATTTGCTTGAAAATAGAAAGAACATTGTTATTTTTAAATGTCAAAATGAAAGGGGAAATTTGAATCTTTAATTAAAAAGTCCAATACCTTCCTTGTTTTCCAGTCAGTTCTGAATAAATGAAAACCATTGATATCAATAAAGGACGTTTTTTAAGGACTTATTAATTTTAATATTTGATTTCCAATTGAAGAAAAAAAATGATTTCCATATTTTACTTTTTCAATTTATTAATATTTTTGACGAGCCTTAAACAATTCCATGTTTCAGGTTCTTTGAACATTATTTGTTTAATTTACTGATTTTTATCGTCATTTTAGCCCTTTCTTGGCTAATTCAAGAACTTGCAAGAAAGCAAAATACATACATGTATATAAGACATACTATAATATAGGTAGTATCAATAACTGAATATACATACAGGAATTATGGCGGTAATAAAATAAAAATATGACGATGCCAGGCAGTGCGCTCGGTTTTGTTTTTTATTTTGTTGCATATAGAGAGTGTAGTAGAAAATGTATTATATATTGTCTACTGAAGACCGTAAGTCTTGTTTGATCCGACCGATGTAAGTAATTTTACTTATATATGACTGTCATTCGATAGTGTCTTATTAATTTGTAAGGACTAACCAACACCATTTTACCGTCGTTGAATGCGTTTTGGGTAATAAAAATGCATGTTTTATGGCGCGGCACATCGTGTTAAGTATTATGAACAGACATATGTAATTATCGGTCCCAGAGAGCAAAAATATACACAGTGTAAACAAAGCCACCCATGCACAAAACTGCCAAGGATTTATAAATGCAGTTAAGTGCAGCGATTCCGTCAAAGCGAAGACTATACTTTTCATCATGAAGTCATTTTCATGAGTGACTAATCATAAAAAAAATTAATTCATTCAATACACATTCAAATTAATTATAAAACAATATCTAAAAACGTAATTAAATCTACGGACATTCAAATTAATTACAAAACAATATCACTAAAAAACAAATTGTCATTCATAAACACAATGCATCTTTTTCTTCATTAGATATTTTTGATATTCTTTGTCATCGTTAACCAGCATGTCAGATTAATTGTTTTCTACTTGGAAAATTGAATTAAAATTTTACCAATGATGAATTCCTCTTTAAAAGGGCGATCGATCAAAAAAGATCAATTAAATATAATCCCGTCTATGACATTTTCCCTTCCAAATTGACTTTAAAACAAGTTAATCATATTATTACTGTCAATGTGCGTATATAAGCTCGGGGTTTATTTTAAGTTCTGCACATTTCCATTTCGGATCTGGTAAAGGACACTTCTGTTAAAACAGCATTAAGGACCCTTTCTACACTAAATGAAAATGGTGTTTTTTTGTTTTTTTGTTTTTTTGTTGTTTTTTTTTTTTTGTTTTTGTTTTTTTTTTTTTGGACATTGAGAAAATTATATTGTATAAAGGTGTAAATATTTAGCGTATTTATATCATTTTCAACATAGTGTACTTGGCATATGCATTTACCCCCAGGAAAAATATTCAAAGTCAACAAAGTATTGATGAACAGAAATCACTTAAGTGGGGGAAAAGCATGCAGATGAGGTGTTCAATTAATTTATCTTGGCCTCTCAAATTGTTAAGAATGCTTGAATTGATTAGAAATTGATTGATAAACTGTAGATTTCAATTTATTTTATTTTAGATCTAAAGGCAGTTTACCCTAAATACATAAAAATACCACAGAATCAGAACTCTTTAGTGTGCAGTGTATAGAGGGTTCTTAAATTTATTCAGTAGCATATATAACCATTGGAGGGGGGGGGGGGTCATGTAAAAGCGTTGAAACCAGAAACAACCTTGACGTCTTGCTATCTTGTAATGTTATTTTTCCCCATTTATGTAGATTTTGCAAGGGTACTCTTTTCAATAAGTGAATCTTTTTTTTACAGTTCATTGAAAGTTTACATATAAAGCCATGAAAGTAAAAATAAATAAAAGCTGTAAGCAGTTTCGGTCTTCTTTATGATACATTGAAAGACTCCACAAAGGGGCTCTCTTAATGTATATCTAGAAGTCTTTGTAAACAAACATGTTTTGCAACCTTGCTATGAGTGCACGTTCGTATTCCCGTGCGCTTATTCCCAATACTTATTAAAGGAGATCTTGATGTTAATTATGTTCTGACAAAATGACAGATTTAAAACAAAAGTTAATAAATAAATGAAGTTTTCAAAATATATTTCTGACATGGAGGATTTCCATCTCAAGGTACAAGAATAAATTGTGTTAAGTTAGGCCGACATAATAAACATCTTTATAAAAAAAAAAGGTCATATATTTGAACACACTTTAGCAAACGTGTAGCATCCTAAACTACTGGATATGCTCGCATATATAAGCACATGTAGTTCGTTTATACACATGCAAGGTCGTTTGTATTTTTCCAAATTATTTCGGGTACACCAATCATGATATGTATGTCTTTAATTTTAATGTAGACCTCTTTGCCAAGATTAAATCAAAAGTTTAATATTTGTATATTATCAGGTCCTTGATAATTTGGGATCGACTTAATATATACAATGTAGCTACAGTAAACTAACCCAATAAGGTACTAGTTTTATCCTGTTTTTAGCAAGACAAGCATCATATTCAAAAAAAAAAGAAAAGGTATATTTTAATGTTAAAAAATCCTCACTTCGTGCAATTCAGATAAAAATCTGCAGCTATTAGGATAAATGTCCCATGGTTGCCTTTATGAACACAGATTTGTATTGATTGTAATCAGAAACCTTACGTCTAGAAACCTGCAATCTTTTTCAAATCACAAACTCAATTTTTAGTACACATGCACGCCAATTTGAAAAAGGTATTCTTCTTGACAATTAAATTGTTCATTGACAGCCCTATAATACATGTATTCATTTAACAAGAGTGGTTTTTTCACGAAGGAGTAGAGTGACACCAATTTTAACAAATTTTGGAGATCAGCCTTGAAATTACCAGTTTTCTTTTATTATCCTCAAGTAGTATTATTAATCTTTCTAGCATTATAAATCTGCTTGTGTAAGCGCGAGTGTGGCAACCTTGAATTTTAAAACGGCCTTTTATGTAATCTGAAAAAGGGCATTTTCAGATTAGGAAGAAAGGTGATGATCATAGGCATTATAAAACCACAAACAAGAAAAAAATTAAAAGGACAGGTAAAATAATTTTAATGCATTTATTCTTCATAGCATGGTGATATCTTTACAAAGGTTCAATTGCAGACACAATTTTACATTAATAGATCATTATTGCAATAAATCAAGTAAGTGTCAGGGTCTCACATATTGTAAAGTCATGCCACTTAAGAAGAAAATCATGATGATGGAATATTATTTTACACCTGATGGGTTTCATCAAAGAATATACTACTGGCCCGAAGGTGAGCTATCGCTTCAGGAAAGTTCAGATCCATTAAATGGTTTTGTGAAGAGGAACACGTTATACGCCCTGTACTGTTTGGTTAAGATGCACCTTTGTTATGAGGAAAGGCAGTCTTTCAATGTCTTTAATAAAAAGGCACAGTTTTTGACTTGCTCAAAAACAACGTGTTTAGAATTACCGTTTGATTTTGAATTCTACGAAAGCAAAATGTCTGTTGTGGAAATTCTGTGCAAACACGTCGTATTTTTGAGTTGAAGATGACTACTCAGTAAATTGCTAGTATCCTCTTGCTCAGTCACAACCAGCTATTTCGAATCAAGAGTTCCCACTTGACACTACGAAAGTTCTCGCTAGTCCATGACAGCGTTTTTGGACACTGAGAATTCATATGATCGGGTAATCATATTTAAGTTAAATCCATGCATTGCTGCACCGGGGTCTTCATCGGCTGAAAACTCGCTTGATGAGGCTGGATCGGCGCTTTCTGCATTTAAGGGTTGCCATCACGACCTGTTCGAAAACGTCTTTGACGCCAGTTTTCTGCACCGCTGAACACTCCAGATAACTAAATGCCCCAATCTGCTTGGCGAGATTTTCACCTTCTTCTTTAGTAACATGGCTAGAACCCTCCTTTCTAAGATCGGTTTGAGTTCCCACCAAAACAACGGGGCGTTTTCTGTCGATCTGGCGAATCTCGGGTATCCAAAAATCTTTGACGTTTTCCAAGGACTCCCGATCAACTGTGCTAAAGCAGACGACAAAAATATCGTTGCTTCTGTAGTCCTGCGTTCTGACTTTCTCATAGTCATGCTGAAAAAAATAAAACAACACTATTACTATTTCATCATTAAAATGGTAGAAATTCACTTAATTCATTCAAAAGGAAGTATTCAACCGGTTTATAATTTTAAAATGATAATTACCTGTCCTGATAAATCCAGGATGCTGAGAGAATATTTGTCTCCTGCAACTGACATGGAGGCAGTGAAGTTATCCTCTGTTGTGGCAATATATCCATCGTCCAGAATTTGTCCAGTGATGGCTTTAGCTAGGGAAGATTTCCCCACCATTCCATCACCGACCAAAGAACATTGCACTGTAAATTTATCCATTGCTACAACCATTATAACTCAAGCTCTAGCAGTAGTGTAAATTGTCTTCCACAGTAATCTTCCGATTATTAAGCGTAAAACGGGCGGTTCTCGGTATTTATAAGGTGGCAATATAACCAGCCAATCGCAGGTCGTTTCGGTAGGTCTATTTTTACCCTCTGGGTTTTACCTGGATTTTACTTATTTCCTTTTCTTACTCAGGTAGGATGACGGACGGCGCGTGGCGACTGTCACTCAGCCGTGAAGACAATAAATCGCCGTTTGTTTGTTTTACTACTCATATCATCTTAGTTTTCTTTTTGAAGATTTTGAGGAGGAAATAGCAAGTCAGAGAAAATTTCGTCTGACAGCAATGAATGCATTATTCTTAAACAGGCCACAAAAGCCGTTGTTTAGCATTCTCATTGCAATTTATTTAATTATGGACATGATAAGGGCAGATGTCTGTCTATTTAGAAAGCTGTGCTCATTTATGTAAAGTTGCCAAAAAGAAACGGGATCCTGCATTTTTTTTTTCGTCATTATCATTCAATTTTCATTGCTAAAATAATGTTGAGGGACATAAGTTGATCAACTTAATTACGGATAATAAGTGTTTTATTCTGCAGTAAATGAATAATTTTATCGTTTCATTATTTTATTCAATTTATATTTTTAAAGATTTTTTTTCTTCCAACATTAAAAATTGTTTGTGCGTAAGTACAACCATAGAAATAGACTTTCTATATTTGTTGAAGAAAAAAAATAATCATAAATGTGTTGAAGTTGAAATAAAGATGAAGAAAAAATAATCAATACATAGATATGTCAATGTAATAAAATTAATAGAAAAATTGAATGGAAGAAATGAAATACGGTCAAATACCTATGAAGAAATTCAAACCAGTGCTAAGACCTTAATTTGTTGCTATAAATATTTTATTTGACACCATTTTAATGCAAATCTGCCATCAAAAATAAATTTCCATCACATTTTGTATCACTAATGGCTATTTTATCGGTCATTACTAATAGTAACTGTCAAAGTGGACACCCCTGCGGCACGCTTTCTCTTTTGTATTACGGCTAAATACCATTTAGTAAAAAGTTGTTTCTTTCCCGGAGATATGCCGTCTTATCATCAACGATTAATATCGCCGATATAAACAAGGTGACAAAAACGTATGGTCAACCTGCCCTCATTCAAAGTAATTTTTTTTAAATCTACATCCTGATGTAAAACATCATTAACAAAGAAAAAAAGTAAAAAGGGGACGATTAATGTTATCATGAACCTTATTAATTATTAAACAGACGCAAAAGACGGGTCACCGCAAAACACAATTAACAACACAAAAAAAATAACAAGAAGTGCTTGTCCTTTTGATATGTAAATTTTTTTTGCATTGAGAAATCTTTTTGATTTTGATGGACACTTTTTTTGGACAATTATATTATAATTAATCCATTCAACAATTAAACCATTGAATTTCAATATTTTGAAGACTGAGTATTTTATATTTCATCCATGATTGTGACTGTCTGGCTATGCTTTTTATGTATCGATCATTACATGGATGATAATTTAAAGATTAAAATATTTTAAATTAAAAAAAAAAGATTAAATGTATGTCATATTAAAATACGTTTTATGGATGTAAGTGAAAATTTCATTTTTATCAAACAACATCCATTACAATCCTATTAAAAAGTCAATGACATTTCAAAATTGGATGACTTTTATGCATCAATATATAAGTAGATTTCAGGTAATAATGCCACCAACATTAATGTTAAAGCAGTAATCTTCAAAACTCGTAGAATTTGGACATCAAATTTTTATTTCCTTTATAAATGAAAGATTTAATATTTCAAGACTTTTTTATTTAGACTATTCAAAAATGGAATGAAATATTATTAAACTGATCGCCTTTGTACCTCAAGACAGAAATAGACTGTATTTTAATGTTCAAAATATTTCAATATCAGACTCCACTTTGATGGCATTGCACTACACTATCATTAAAACATTTACTTTTAGCTAGTACATAAATACACTGAACGCCAAGGAACAGACGGTGCATATTGAACTGAAAGACATTGAATAAAATGCCAATAAATATAATTTTGATATAAGTACAATTCACCACTGTAAAGTGTTTATTAAAAGAAAGGGTAACCGAGGTACCTTTCTTTGTTAGACAAGAAGGAAGCACTTTTCAGTCCGGCAGCTATATACAATGATGTTTTGTGTAAATGTACCGCCTTGTCACATCTCCATTACACGGCGGGTCTATAGTTTATAACTAGATCAATATTTATCACAGTAATTCGATTTAATAAATTGAAGACATATCTTGTGTCACTACGTGGTACTGTGCAGTTTACGTTTTGCAACAAACCTTATTCTGTGCATCAATGGTTCGTTTGTATTGCATAACGTTTACAGTCTGTAGCCATTTATACCCTGAATATTAAACGTAATACATTTGTAGTTGATATTTAAATTTACCAATATATTTCATCAGTAAAAAACCATGTCATTAAATCCAGATTCCTTCTAAATGACATAGCATGACATCAATAAATGAGACTATTGATCTTAACTTGGTCTCTAAATTAGAAAATAGGGGCCTAAAATTAAGGTTAGGATAAAAGGCATATTTTTCAAATGTAGGTATCAGAAACGAGTCAAAGTTCGATGTTTCGACGCTTATGCAAGAATTATCTCAAGCCCACAAATTAGGTATAAACTTCAACTCACCATCCCCACTCCCATCCCACCCCATCAAAAAATTAAACATGAAATATGGAGATAACGAACAGTATTCAAGCTCAAAGTCCATTAAAACAATACAAATCGGGAGCAAGCAATAATTTTATGAAAACAAGACTGAAGTAGGGCAAATATTAAGCACTAAAGAAAAAAGTGTCATACATTCATGATGGAAAGTCATTCTTAATTGTAATATATTCTCATAACAGTAATTAAGATTTTTCTACTATTTTATAATGCATACCTTATATTATTTCACTTAAGAAATAAATAACAAGTTTAAAAACTTCAATGGGAATTGAAGTGGGTCGGTCACGTGATCAAATCCTGTGAAGGCCGAAGGCCTTCTCAGAAGATTTGATCACGTACCGACCCACTTCAATTCCCATTGAAGTTTTTAAACTTGTTATTTATTACTTATATATACATTTGAGACGGACAATCGAATGTAATCGAATATAAATATTGCACTAACTGTACGTCGTAGATTTTGACAAATCACGCTAGTTGTAAATCGGCTTGAAAAGCGGTTACGCTTCAAATTCATCTGGCAAAGGATTCTGTTTTGAAGGGAATATTCTGTGAAAGGCTACTTGTGATCAATTATAGTGAGCATATTGGTATCTGGGAATTTTTGTATTCATGAGAATCCATATTCGATGTTTAAAAAACACAAGAAACACGTCCGATGTTTGATAATAAAAAGTTGGAGGAATTTCGGTCGGAAAGGGATGGATGGAGACACTTGAACTGACACTTGTCCGGACCAGATAACTTGAAATCAAGTACAAACTTTACAAAAACATAAAATCTACGATTTCAGTAGGGCATATTTATTAATTTATGATGTTGACACTGGCGACAGCTTACATTGTTAAAGACAACGTCACAACGATCTCGATGATGGAGGTGTGCCTACCGAACTTCCAAAGTGCAGTGTTTGTCAGCTGTTTGTGGCGTGATTGCATTACATTGATATTTTTCAACAGATTTTCAAATTTATTGTGAGTGAAGTTTAATGGGAAAAAAATTATAGCATTCAGAGGTCTGCGAGAAAAATAAGGGTAAACGTTGAGGCTATGCAGCTCAGACATGAAACTTATAACACGTAGTTTTCTATTCTCTATGTAAAATCGATCAAGAACTGTATTAAATACTCGTTTACATTTTAAATAAAATTATTATTATTTTACTTGCGTATTTTGTACATTTTTATGCATGAAAAACATGCTATATTGCTTAGTGGAGTAAGTCTTTTTATGTAGATATTACTGCGCTGTGTGATTAGGTCATGTAATGACCTATGACCTTCGAAAAACTTCATACAGGTATGAAGATATTTGCTCTCTGCATGTTTATATAATAGAGAGATACCACAAATGTATATATATACGATTATACACTGATTATATGTTTTAATGTTAATTTTAATTGTAGCATTATGTATGGACTCTGTAACTCTGAGGCATAACTGTTCATCATTAATTATATTTATGGGGATGAAAATAAAGCAGAACTTAATATTTCTATAAATGTATCTTTCGTAAATCATTAAGGTTTCGGGAACTACAGTTCTGGATGTTTCTGAATATGAAATGCTCCACCCGAGATTTATCCTTTAATGATGGCCTATGCGATAAAAGACAAAAGACACAATGAAATTGGAAGCCAAAGCGCTCAAAAGAAAAGGGATTTTTTTTCTAATGAAAATTTGGAAATATTTATATTTCTAATAATTATTTTTTCCGGAAAGCAGGAAGGTAGTGCTTGGGAGGGGTAAAAATCCATTACACTATACTTCCTTAAATTTTGGATAGAAATGAAAATTTTAGGAAGGGAGAGGGTTCTTGGAACCCCTCCCCCCCCCCCCCCCTTAATTCTTTTTCTGTGCATAATTTTTAATTTCTTGGCTCAGACAAATGTTTTCTATATGGATCAACATCAGTCAATACTTTCTGTCTATTGATGTGGAATATCATAACACGAGCCAAAAATGAAGAATCTACAGTAAAACTTGTCTAATCCGGACACCACTTGGCTGTATTAGTGTCGCAATATCTATAGTATAGAGAAGTACATTTACAATATGACATTAGACAACTTTCCGGACTCGACAATATTTTTAATAATTGAATTAACAGAAAGGAGAATTTCTTTGTATGCCCAAGTAGTGGCACATGCATACATGTAGCTGAATTATATTTCCCCATTTCTATCTTTGAAAATTGGATATTTTGCTATGTAAAGTACGATTTCTTTGAGAATTTTGCAAAATCAGGGGATTACATTCTTCAGAAAGAAGAAAGGTACAATATTGTACAGCTCTTTAGAACTCATTTTAACTATTTTCTTCTTTGTTCTTTGTCTTCGGTGATGAAGTGTTTTGATCATACTAGATTTAGAATGTCCTCACTAGAGTACATGACCAGTAGACATCGTTCATTCATCAAGCTCTTGTAACTCTCTTGTTTCCGGTGTGGTTTCAGTTAGTTGACAACTGGAACATCATTATATTCTCACCAAGTTTAATGTTCATCTTGTAACAAATGTGTTTTTGATTGTTTTTCCGCTTCGAAGCTATCCCACTGTGTTACGGCAAAATAATTGCATTTTCATTCACGTTTTTCATCATGATTTTAAATATTAAAGTGGTATTTAACTTTTTTTGAATGATAAGATGAATTTTTCATACTCAAAAGCCACAATAAAAACATTATTAGTGTCTATTTAAGGTAAATTTCGAACACATATTTTGGACGAACATTATATATATATATATATATATATATATATATATATATATATATATATATATATATATATATATATATATATATATATATATATATATATATATATATATATTCCATCGGCATCGAAAGCAAGTTTTTTGACTTGCCTAGATAGCCGAGCGGTCTAGCGCGCTGTTCCTGTACTGCTAGGAGACAGATTCCGTAGGTCGAGAGTTCAACCCCGGGCTGGGGCGGAAGTGGGTATCCTTATAAAAAGTGAATTTCTTTGTGCTTTCTATATTAATATTTCTTCACTTAGGGCAGTTATGTTAGTTTAAGAGTTGTTGTAAAATGTGCTTTATAAATAAAAATAAATTTCATTACAACGTGTATTGGTAACGATCCTCTAATAAAACTGATGTCCAAATAACTGTATCTCACTTCCATTCTCAATGACCGTGTAGTGTAGGACAGCGCCGCGAGAATTCCATCGGCATCGAAAGCAAGTTTTTTGACTTGCCTAGATAGCCGAGCGGTCTAGCGCGCTGTTCCTGTACTGCTAGGAGACAGATTCCGTAGGTCATGAGTTCAACCCCGGGCTGGGGCGGAAGTGGGTATCCTTATAAAAAGTGAATTTCTTTGTGCTTTCTATATATATATATATATATATATATATATATATATATATATACGTGTATATAAAATAAACAACGGTTATTCAATGAACATGGCGTTATGAATAGCAATTGCTCTGCTGGCATATTACATGATGCGCGCTACCCTCTACGAATAGACAGAAGATGAATTTATGCTATTCGGTTAACTGAAAGGTGGCTCAAATTTACTAAAAGGTGACTGATTTGCAGAGCTCTGGATCAATGTCAAATTTTGAACAAAGTTACATATTCCAGCCCCAGACTATGTTGTATACACGTTTCTACCACAAAATTATACACTGTACAACTTTGTTAAAACCAAAGCATAAAATACACATCTGAAAAAATACACACATCTTTTTAACAAAATAAAAGAAACACAAATATTCTTGGTCTGTTGCTTGAGTTTTATACTAAAATTGATGTGAGATTCTTACTTTAAACGACGTTGAAAAGGTTTAGTGTGTGAATTACTTGATATCTGAATTCTTAATTTTTTTTTTAATTCACGCTTTTGATAAAAGAAAAAGAACTTTTTTTTTTGTTGGAACAAATGATAAAAAATGTCATTAATGACATTTTGCTTGAATGATTTTCAAAAGGAAATATTTCCTTTATTTCTGATTTGTAAGAATCAAATTAAAAATATGCAGAATGTGGTTTGTTAAATTAATTTGTGGTGTATTTTTAAAGGGTGTGTATCGAACATCAAAGAACATACATAACTCTGTAGATTTTTTTTTATTTCATTGATACAAAATGACAGGCAATGTTATGTCCATTTTCAATGAACAATTTATTTCTGTGATAAAGAAAAAATTTAGCAATGTGATACTGTGTTTACTTACTGGGAAACAATTTCTTTTTTCATTTTATTTGAAAAGTAGTCTAAGATTGAAAAACGCCTTAATTATGAAATATATGTTTCATTTCAAAAACGTTATAACAAATGCAATATCTCAAACAGTACGAAAATCGACCTGGATGATGTATTGCTGTGCCAATATTTACAAAGGAAAAATGGCTTTTTATGCTATTTTTAGATAAGACATGCTTTTAAATAATTTCTGGAATCAAAAAAATTAGGCCAATATTTCTTGATAATTCATTAATGTTTTGTTCCTGTACCTTCTACCAGATTGTTAGGAGTCTTATTTCTTTAATCTTTCTTACCCGATTTCACCTGGACTACTTTTGAAATTTGACATGCACACTGACAGTTCACTTTTTGATATTTAATTTATGTAGCACCTGCAAATCTATGAGGAGTTAGGCTTCATTGAAGATGGGTTTGATTTTAAACAAAAGCTTATACAATTTAACACAGCTGGTTTTACTCTGAAAGAGCTGTTGGTGGTGCTTTAAAGATGCAGTTATCATCAGCCAAGGGTGTTGTCATGCACCTGGGTGCAATTGACCGTGCATACTTATCCATGGCTGTCTACCCCCATTCTTAATGTTTTTTTGTGAAGTCAGCAGTATAATAAATAGCATCTAGAAAATACACAAAGAAGAGATACTAAGATTAGATATAATCTTAACACAGTAAACCAGTGATCTTCTGAAATTTGCAAGAAACATTAAGAGTACATTGACCTTAATAAAAAACGAAAATAATTGTGTTACGAGCTTCCTAATATAGAATGAATGGGGTTCGCCGCATTAATAAATATTTTAAGATAACTCAATACACAATTTTCTATATAAAATTTATTTTTACGTCTTATGATGTATTCATGGTATTTATTTTTTATATATCCCTAGAAATTCATACAATGAGTGTTAGATATACATTAAAGATAAGCGAGACTAGATCTAATGATAATCACTGAATATTTAGAACTTTCTGATCAGTATGCCTTTTGGCTTACAAAAATGAGATGATTCATTATTTTTAAATGCATTTTAATAAACAATGACAGTTCTTGTAACAGCCAAACAGACAAGATCGGTGTCCCAAATACTAGTACCAAATTAAAGTGACAAAATAAGAAAAGAAAAGAGGATAAGTTCATTAATTTTAAACATGTTATATCTTGACACTCTTTTATAATTTGTTAGGTAAATGACACAAAACAATCCAAAAACTGATTATACAATCATTTGTCATTACGACAATTAATCAACGAAGTGTTTCAAGGTCTGCAAAATTCGCAAGTCATCTTCAGTAACAGATAATACTTGGAATATTATCTCATCGGCTCCTAGTGGATGGATGTCACCAGTACCACAATACTAGATAAATGGATAGATAAATAGAATCAACTATCCATTTCTAGAATGGATATGGATATCTGCAATTCTCCAAGTCAAACACGTCATGTACACCTTAAATGCCCACACATATAATAGCATTCATTCTGCTTGCAATGAGCATGGTACATACATGATTTCAAAATGCTCGAAATCAGCTTTCCGGAAATGTTCATACATCCAAAAAATGTGTACGCTTATCGTCTACCAAGACATTCTTCGAAAGGAAGTATTTGTAAACTGTATTCCAGAATAACATTGTTACTAATATTTATCCAATGCCTAGATGCTTTGAATGTTGAACATGATCATTCAAGGTGATCAACACATTCATGACGATCAGTGTTCAACGACCAAACACTCGCTTGATGAGACTTCGGCGCTTCCTGTACTTCAGAGTCGCCATCACGACTTGTTCGAAAACCTCTGTAATACCAGTCTGTCGTGCTGCTGAACACTCAAGGTAACTGAAAGCACATATTTGTTTTGCAAGGTTTTTTCCCTCTGCTTTTGTAACGGGATAAGTATCTTCCCCTCTTAGATCGGTCTGAGTTGCCACCAAAATGATGGGGCGTTTTCTATCGATCTGGCGGATTTCGGGGATCCAGAAATCCTGAACACTCTCCAAGGATTCCCGATCCACAGCACTGAAGCAGACGACAAATATGTCGTTGTCTCTATAACCCTGTGTCCTTACGCTATCGTAATCATGCTACAAAAAGAACGATCAGTTAAAACATCATCTCTCTTTTTTTTATTAAAAATAAAAAGGATCTACCAGTATTTACAAAAAAAAACTTTTTTATAAAAGTTATATTTACCTGTCCTGATGAATCCAAGATATTTAAAGAATATGTATCTCCTTTCACTGATATAGAAGCAGAATAACTTTCCTCTGTGGTGGCAGTGTATCCCTCGTCCAGACTTTGTCCAGTGATGGCTTTAGCAAGGGAAGATTTCCCCACCATTCCATCCCCAACCAAAGAACATTGCACGGAATATTTATCAACTGATACAACCATTTTCATATATATTTTGAAACAACCAAGTCTTAATTTTGAAATCTACCAGGCAATTCAAAGAAAATATAAGCTTAGAACAAAGCTTTGTATTTATATGATTCATTAATTAAATTCAGCAGCCAATCACGAGTTCACTGTTTTAAATTTACTCAATCTTATTCGCCTTGGAGTTTTTCCCTTTTATTCAAAAGAATGTCAGTTTTCACCAGCTGTCACATTAACAAAGCGGTTAAATGGGATTTTATTTCATTTTAAATGTCCATTTATTCATTAACCAAAACACTCTTTATCATTACATGTATATTTTCATTGTCTTACCATTTTAAGAGGCTGAAGATGTAAATGTTAATATGTATTTCTATTCAAACAAATAGAAAAAAAAATAAATCCCATGTAAAGAGGAAATTATTATAAAATTTACAAAAATATATTTTAAAAAATTCTATTAAAAAACGTTTTGAGATTTTTTCAGTTGAATCACCATTAAAATCCCTTGATAATGGACGATTGATGTTTTTCAAACTCGCATAATTGACACTAACATACAGTATATTTTTTAAAAGATTTAAAGATTATAATCTATAATATTTCATCATACATGTACCATTCAAGTGAACTGTCGTATAGACTATTATTGTCGCTATGAATCGGCAGGATCTGATTTTTAAAACAAAGTTTTCACAAAACATTCAAAGATCAGAAAAGAATAGTTTTAAAATACTATTTAAAGATTGAAACAAATTTACTTTGTACTTATAAACCCCGAAATCAGGGGAAAGTTAGCAGACCTATTTTTGTATTCATATGAAGCAGAATTGTTCAAAATCTTGAAAAGAAGGAAACACTTGCTGTGGCCTTCAACTCAACATTTAGATATATCGACGACATACTGTCCATTTCCATTTGTATGTCGATACGATATATCCCAGTGAGCTTGAAGTAAAAGATGCCACAGAGTCTGACACATCTGTTTCATATTTGGATATTTTACTAGAAAGAGACGTAAGTGGTAATCTAACAACCAAACTTTATGATAAACGTGATGACATTTCAATCGTCAACTTCCCTTACTTATGCAGCAATATACCTTCATCATCTGCATATGGGGTTTATATCTCTCAGTTGATTCGATAGGCAAGAGCATGCTCTACGTATGAACAATTTCTAAAACGAGGTAAGTTATTGACAAACAAGTTGATGAAACAAGAATATCAGCAGTCTCGTTGAAAGTCGTCATTTCGTAAGTTCTATGGTCGATATAATGACGTTGTCAGCAAATACATTTTATCATTAAGTCAAATGCTGACTGACGTTTTTCATACTAATTGTTAGGCCATTATTTACACGCTGAATAGTCGACGGATTTTTCTGTTATTACCCTATCATGACAAGGAGCACACGGCGGGTGTGACCGGTCGGCAGGGGATACTCACTCCTCCATGGCACCTGATCCCACCTCTGATGTTTTAGAGGTCCGTGTTTGCTCTGCTCCAAAATTTGTATTGTTTAATTGACTTTTGAGCTTGAATACTGTTCGTTATCTCCATACATTTCATTGAATAATAACATTCTCAAATTAGATATCTGATAACCAGCTTAGGCAATATGCGTATAAGTGATGCATATAATGTTTTATCCCAGGGACAAGAAAAAATAAGCTTACATTTTAAGTACTGGATTGATTACTTTGTTTTATACATGCAAATAAAGAATAATGACTAGCTTTTATTTTGTTGTATGTAACAATTATTGATTCACATCACAACGCGAAGTGTTGATTGTTTAAGTCAAAACGTTGTTTTTATCCTAATTAAAACTTTTTTAAGACTAGAGCAGTAACAAAGCTTGAAAATTAGATAGTGTAATTCAAAATGTAATATAATTCTACAAGAAAGAATTCAGTTTAAATTACTTATTCGTAGTTGAAAAAATTTTTGAATATAGACATTGCAACTTAATTTTTTTAATATAAAAACTTGACAGAAATAATACCATACATTTAAATTGTTCCATATTCTGTAACGATTTTTTTTTAATTTCGAGATCAGGTATTCCAATGTATATTGAAACTTTGAAATGTTTAGGACTGAAAATGTCACGCAAACTCATTTGAAACAAAAAAAAACTGTCTTATCTCTACTTTTTTTTTACTTTTAAAGACTCATATATTGTACTTTGAAGGTAAGACCGAACAGGGCATGGTTCCGTTGAAGATAATGCAGTCATGAAGAGTGTGTATTTAAAAGGACTGGTATAGTTTATGATGGGTGGAATATGCATTTATATGAGTAAAACCAGACATATTTTCTAGGAAATTGATATTTATCATGGCTTAATATGTGTCAGAATACTGAAAAATATAATTAGTAAAAAGGACAGCGCTTAATTTAAATTCATAAAAACGACGCAGTGGTCTTTCATAATATCAGCGACTTTTGCAGGTTTATACTTAATGTGACAGCATTAATTGATCAACATAATGATGTTGCATGTTGATGAACAGGAAATAAGGTTTCATTTATCATTTCTGATCCTTGTAGTATTTTCTATGGTATCCTCAACTTTGTTCCAGATTACATTTTTTGTCTTCAGAAGGAATAATACAATATCCTGAAAAAATGATGAATCCCCCTCCCCCAGCATACAGATATGATAAATTGAAATGGATTGGAAATCAAAGAAAAGGAGAAAATGCCATAATGTCCAACATCTACATGGTTTTAAAATGCTGAGTTTGGAGCAAAAGTGAGGAAAACGTTATTAACACACTCAAGGACACAGCTTTATGCCTGTGTTATGCTAATAGGAGGAAAACATATGAAGTTTTGCAATGTGTTGAATATTGAAGATCACTGCTTTTAAACTAACGGAGTTTTTTGTAAAGTGTACATTACACTTTTTACCAAAATTTTAAAACAAAATTTTCCTTTTTGTGTAAAATTATTTGAAAAATTCATATTTTTTTCACAATTCTGATTCAATTACAGTAAATCTTCTTCTCAAGAACCACTGTGAATAAAAATATGAAACTTATGTGGAATCATTGTGGGGTAATGTAGATTCAAATTTGTTTAAATCATGACCCCCAGGGCGAGTGGGGCCACAATGGACGATCAAAGTTTTACACAGAAATACATAATCTTTAAAATTCTTCTTCTCAAGAACAGCAAAGCCATGATTAGTCTTTTTAAATGGAAGCATCCTCAGGTAGTGTAGATTCAAGTTTGTTCAAATCATTACCCCCAAGGTTAGGGTGGGGCCACAATGGGCGATCAAAGTCTATAGCAAAAAAATCTTTTAAAATTTTCTCAAGAACAGCAACGCCATGATTAATCATATTTACAAGGAAGCATCCTCAGGTAGTGTAGATTCAAGTTTGTTCAAATAATGATCCCCAAGGGTAGGATAGGGCCACAATGGGCGATCAAAGTCTATAGGAAAAATCTATTAAAATCTTCTCAAGAACAGCAAAGCCTTGATTGGTCATAATAATATTAAAGCATCCTCAGGTAATGTAGATTCAAGTTTGTTCAAATCATGACCCCCAGGAGAATAGAGGGGCCATAACAGGGGATCATGGTTATACAAGGAATATAGAGTATGTATCAATACTTTTTTCTCTTAAAAACAGCAAAGCAATTATGAGTCATATTAATTCAAAGACATCCTTAGGAAGTGTAGATTCAAGTTTGTTCAAATCATAACCCACCCCCCGAACCACTTTTATATTTTAATTTTTCAATACTGAACTGATTTCTGCTTTTTCTTAGCCAAAGTGCTCAGGTGAGCGATGTGGCCTCTGGGCCTCTTGTTTGTATTGTTTTAACGGACCTTTGAGAATGATCACTGTTTGTCATCTTCACATTTCATTGTTTGTCATCAATGTCTTTTATTAGTAAAACATCCAAATAGGAAACAGATTTGTCAGATTTCGTGGTGTCTTATTTCGAGGTTTAAATTCGAACCCAACTACTAAACTACTGTGACCGGTAAAAATATTTTGGAGCGTTTTTTTTTATTCATGTTTTTTTTTGAATTGAATTGAATTGAACATATTTTATTGACAAAGTCAAAAGGATCGGACACAAGTTCAGAAACTTAGATAGTCTTCTCCTAATACAACATTTTGTTAAAATTGCCAAAATAAAAAACATATATACATATGGTCTACTACATATACGTAGTTATAGAAAGAAAAAAAAAAGTTTTAAGTGTACAAGTATAACTTGAATTGGTAAGAAGAAAATTTTTTAAAAAGTAAGCTTATTTTGAAAAACGACCACATTCATTTAAGAAAGTTTGAATGGTTTTGAAAAGTTCAACATTTTGTTCAATAGTAAGAGAATCATCTCCCCATAACATTAAATGTACATCTATAACATATAAATAATTAAATGATAAAAGCTTATTCATTAAGGAATTCCTTGCTTTTACATAATATTTACAAGCAAAAAACAAATGATATGCATCTTCTAGTAGTCCACAAGAACAATTAGGACTGGTTATTAGGTTACAGCGATATAAGTCAGACTTTAAAATACAATTATGTCTTAATCTTGTATGAATTATGTTCAAAAACCTTTTTCCATATGAAAAATATTTCTGAGGTTTTGCAATACTGTTGTGCAGATAGTTTTTAAAAATTTTGATAGAAGTTGCCTCCCTTGTTTTAAGACTAAGGGAATTCCACTTTCTAACTGTATCAGGAATAAATGATTTATTATATAGTTCTAATCTGTATTTTGGCAAAGAATAATTTAAGAAATTCCTGGTAGTGTATCCTGAAATATTGCCTCTTGTATCAGGTACTAAATTTTGTAAATAATTAGGTACTAAATTATTGTGCATTTTATACATTGTTATTAATTTTGCTCTGTTTCTTCTGTATTCCAATGGTTCCCAACCTGTTTCCAAATATAATGAATTTCTTGAAGCAATAATTGTAAGCCCAGTAACTATTCTTGCAGCAAATAATTGTACTTTTTCAAGATTCTCAATGT